AATGTTGATTATGCATGCAACTACACATAAATAACGGCAATACGATGACGCCATCAGAAGCGCACGCGCAAGCCGTCAACGCCTAAGTACTCGACTGAAGTAGTGCTTGATTGCTGCCGGCTAGCTGCCGCTATCTGCGCGCATAACCTCGTTTTTATACATATCCGCCTGCCTCAAGGTCGCCGCTGGCGAAATCCGGAAAATTCAATCAAATTGGCACTCTCTTTGCGCTACGAGTGCTAACTAAATATAGTAAAGAGTATGCCGTGAAGGACATTGTAAAAAGTGAGGGACGTGATTGCGATTAGTTCTGAATTTTGTTTTTAGATGCTTTAAGCACCCGCCATCATCTGCTCAAGAATCGTCACCGTCACGACCACCTGTTACGCGGAATACAATGACCGTGCGCAATAATTATGTGAATCACTGCCCTAATAATTGCAATCCAACGTTTAGGTGAGAACTTTCGTCTTCTTTCTTAAAATTACAGGACGTTAACTATGGCGTTGAATAATATTGAAACTCGTTATTTCAGTGCTGAGCCACCTGCACCGGCACCGTCACCAACTGAACAAATCAGCGCTGATTTACAAGCGCACGAACCTGTAGCATTCGATTTGGACTCTTCTGACCCAATAAATTGCGATCCTTCTGCATTCGAAGAAGCAACACCTGACGAAGTCTTCGTTAATCCCTTGAGCGGTGCCATTCCTGAACAAGAAGTTTCGCAGCATTCATATTCACAGCACTCTTCTTCACAGCACTCCTCTTCACAACACTCTCCTTCCGTACATAGTGTCTCTATTTCTGTTCACACCTGTTCTGAAGGGCTGGAGATGCGAGCCGGGACATCGGCATCAACCCCTTCATCACAGCTTGCCTATGAGATCCTACCAGAACCTACTGGAGAGGAGGTAGTGGTGTCGCACATTCCTTATCGATCGGACTCGTTCGACTCCCAGAAAAGTTATCACTTCTACACACAACAACCTTCGGCAGTTATTGAGCGGGAAAGTACAGCTCCTTGTGTCAGTCCTGAGCTCTCACAAAGCTCGGGTATCGAAGAAGAACGGCATTACAGGTTTGTCAATTTTCGCAGCATAGTAAAATCTAATCATTCATCTCCCCCCTTTACAGAACTGCATTAACGCTACCCTTCATTGATGCTGATAGCGTTTCATCTCTTGTTGGAAACGATGACTTACGACGTCTTCAATCCGTTAAAAGACTTGCGGATTCGCCGAGTAGTTATACAGAAGTGGAAATCGTGGTTCCTGAGGTGAAGCTAATAACCAACATCGAACAAAGTAAGACGCCCAAAGAAGATGAAGAAAAGGTGGAAATTGTGGAACCGAGACTTCACAGTAAGCAAGGTAACCATGTGGAGAACAATAACGAACAAGAGTTGGCACAACCACAACAACAAGCGCCGCAAATAACTTCAGATTCTGAATCGCAGAAGCAACAGTCGCAGTATCAGCAGCCGGTAAGAACATTCATGCTTTTCCTAATACTCTATAAAAGTTGAGTTGGAAATCCCATATGCGTC